AGAAGAGTAATAAGAGTATGGAGCAGGATGAGAGAGAGGAGGAAGAATGAGGAAGAAGGAGAAGGGAGAGATGGAGTGGAAGAGTAAGAGGGAGAGGGAGAGGAAGAGGGAGAGGGAGAGGGAGAGGGAGAGGGAGAGGAGAGTGAGGAGTCAGGCCAAACTCATCCAATTATCAGGAACTTATCAGAATAAGTAAACTTCTGCCAAGTAATGACATAAATCTATTCACGAGAGCAGAAACTTCATGCCCTAATTACCTCTTAAGGTCTACCTCTTAATACTGTTATGGTAGGGATTAAGTTTCCAACATATGAACTTTGGGGAACATATTCAAATTATTGTTCTGTCTAAATCTGTTATGATATTTTAAAATAAAGAACTTAAAATGTATTTTTTAAACTTTTTCTTTGTCTTCCTCAGTACCTTTACATTGTAGTCTTTTTGAGGAAGTATGAATTTGTTTGGAATCATTTTTGTGAAATAATAGTTATATTAACAATAACTTACATTTTAACCAATTCAGCAGCTTTAATTTTTTTTCTAGTACTACTTTGATTCAGAAGTTGCACAATACCTCTTGAGGATATTTTCATTTAGTAAAAATGAGGACACAGACATCCAGATTAATTGTTTGCCTAAGGTCTTATGTCAAACCAGAAGCAAATCTAGAATAGGGGCTTGGATAGTTTTTGATTTTAGGTCATGTACTTACTTTTGTTTTGAAATTGTTCATGTCCATGTGTTGAGTTGTTAAAGCTGTGATATGAGATAGCTGGGCTAAAAGAATCTTGTTGCAATTTACATTTGAAAAAATTAGGTCTCTGGAAGTTTTGTGGCTTGAATGACAAAAAGTATCCTTAAAATTGGCCTAATTTCTATTTTAAGGAACCATCATAACTAGTCATTCCTCTTAAAAATGTATGTGCATTGCTCCTTTGTTTTCTTATACAATTTCAGAAATCTTTTACTATAATTACTGAGCAATCTATGTTGAAAAATTTCAAAATATCTAAACAAAGTCTCTCATGCTTGAGCTTATTCTGTTCTCATAACAAGTGTAGGCATAGATAACTGTCATCCTTCATATAAAAATTCTTTCTAAACTTACATAACAACATCTTTTAACTGAATGGCTGCATTTTTATTCCATAAATGTTAATAGTCTGCTGTGAGCTAGTTTTATACTGGTATGCTTAAAACATGGGGTTCTCATCCTTTGAAGACTTCTGAATCCTACTAAGATGTGAGAGAATGGTGCAAGTTTCCTGTTGATCCTCCAATCTTAAATGCTGAACAAACAGAGGATGAAGGGAATGGGGCATTAGTGCAGGGAGGGTAAGATGCTTAGGCCTCTATCAGGAATAACAATTTTTTTCTCTCCAATTAAGTTGAGATTTATGTGTGACATAATAATTTTTATAGAATACATAATGTTGTACTTTGTATTTACTTTAGTCAGTTACTTATTTTTAAATTTTATTTTCTTCTCTACAAATGCAAACTGTATTACAGTAGTAAAGTTTGGCAATACTGATTAAAGCATTTAGCTTATTTTATAGACTATTTTAAGGAAGAATTAGGAAGCAAGTTGATACTAAAGTAGTAAATAGATGCTATTAGTTCTATAAATTTGAGTGTTTCAAACTTTGTTACCAAAGATCATCTACTTATGGTTTTCTCTTAAATGTATTTCTGCCTACATTTAAAAATTTTAATTTTCACATGTTCTGGTCTCCAACCATGCAACCAAAGGGCAAATAGGGAAGAAAGTTAAAATTCTTTGGTGATCCTTTGCTTATCATTTTTCCTTCTTTTTCCCTCCTAAAAATTTACCATTCTTATGGATTTGTAATTCTCTCTTTATATTTTCATCTTTGGATCCAGTTTCATCTTTGGATCCATTCTCATTGTGATGAAAATTGTGTGTAAATTTAAGAAATAATTTCTGTGCCCCTCTGCTATCTCCCCCTCCTACTCAACATCATTTGATCATATCCATATCTTTGAATCACTGGCCTCTACCACTCACATTGTTCCTAACTCTGCTTTTGCATTAAGCTTCTTCCTTCTCTTCTTCATGGGGAATTATCTTTGGAATGTTGCCCAGTTTGGGTCTTGATGTTTCCTCATGATTTATAATTATGCAGTTTTAGTACAACTACTAGAGAAGTGATAGGTTTATTTCAGGGCATCATATTAGAAGTCTAGTATGTGACCTCTACTGAGTAAATGTACCTGTATGCATTTTACTCTAGAGAAGAGGTGCAAGCAATATGGATCAGGTTTTCAAGAGGACATTACATGGTATTATCTTTTCTCAATTTTGTGGTCACAATACCTCCATTTGAGTAGACGAAAGAATGCCTTTGTATATTTGGCTCCTGTTTCTGATCCCTCTACAAGGCTTATCCTGAAAATATTCAGTGAGTAGTAGACCAGAGTCTACCTGAGGTGCATAAAAGCAGAGCTACAGTGTTTGTTGTTGTTCTGTGTTGTCCAGCCTTTGTTTTCTCAGGCCCCACAGTTGGCTAACCACTGAATTTTGATTGTAGTTCTAATTTTATCTCAATGAACATGAGTTTTAAAACTTATGAAGTTTTAAAAAGTCCAATACAGTATTTAGTCTATTGTATACAAAGATTGATTAAAAAAACCCTTCAGGTTTTTAAGAAATAATATTGCCCAGGTAATGATAACCTAATTAGTTTCTTTTTCTTTCTTTCTTTCTTTCTTTCTTTCTTTCTTTCTTTCTTTCTTTCTTTCTTTCTTTCTTTCTTTCTTTTTTTTAATTCTGAGCTATGCTTTCTTGGAGTAAATAAATTTTTGTGAAAGAAAGCTTAATTGAGACCTTATCTGAAACATGAATTTTGCTAGCTATATAAAAGACAAAACTTCTGGGATGTTAAAAAAATCAAATACAAATTACTTTTTATTTTGTCTTTTATATAGCTAGCAAAATGAGATTCTTAGTTTTGTTTGTTTGTTCCTTAGGAACTTCTAAGTCATCTCTATCCATGCATTTAAAAATTAATAAAGCTACAGAAGAGAATTAAAATATATAGAGTAATAGTAGATTTGAAGGATTCCATGAATTGTTCTTATTCTTAAAATGGGATGATTTTAGACTAATATGATTTATTAAAATCTGATTCTTTTATAATACCACAGACACCTGAAATAAACTAAGCCCTATTATACTGTGTAAAATCCAGTGGTTTATTAAAAGGAAGCAGCCTGCAAGCTTGATTAAACAGTGCTTATTTGCTCCTCTATTCTTGAAAAATCAATACTTTACTGGTCCAGAAATTTCCTTGGCTATTAAGAAGAAGAAGAAGAAGAAAAAAAAAAGTAGGGATATGTTTTCCCCCTTTCACAAGTTTAGCTCCTTTTATGGGTTGATTATAATTACTAAAGGGAAATTAAATTTTGAGTAAAGAGGTCACTAATTAAACAGATTTTTCTAGTAAAGCAATATGATATGTACATGGATGGGAGAAATCACATGCAGTTCATTGTCACAAAAGTACCACATGTGAAGCAACTTATGTCAAGAAGTGACACTGGGGATCCCATAGTATGATAGGCTTATCTGACCAGTTAAGGAGCTTGGACCACTGTGGAGGAGATCTGAGAGGTAAGGAGGACCTGAGCTTGGGGTGTAGTAGAAAGAGATGAGTTCAAGAGATATTAAGGAGGTTAAATCGTTAGAACATGTAGATGAATGTAAGAGGTAAGATAGGAATCAAGGGTCCTATCATGGGTGAATGATTTTCCCATCTTAAATAGAAGAGAAGCAGATCTTTAAGGAGGGGGAAGGTTGTGCTCTGTGTTGAGCTGAAGAGATGGTAGGGTCTGAATGGAGCCATCATGTGATAGAACCATATGGTCTGCAGTTTGGGTTCTGGAGATTGGGAAATCATTAGCATAGAAGTGATGTTTGGAACTGTGTAATTCAGATTAATGAGGAAGTACCTTGTAGAGTAAGAAGTACTGTGGGTTAAGGATATAGTTCTGAACATCACCTTCATTTAATGGACAGACAGAAAAAGAGAGACTTTTTCTAAGAGCATGTAATGTCATGAGGCCAAAGAAAAAGCCTTTTATGGAAGGAGTGGTCATATAAATTTAGCACCATTAATCTTGTCTGTTGTTCAGTATGCAAAAGAAACATGATTGAAGGTTTCCTTTTTAAAGCTGATTTCCAAGGATTTTTTATGAAGAAGTTTTAATTCATATTTTGTTTTTATTCTGTATTGTTCAGGACTTGCAAGTTCAAGGAGAATTTATATATATATATATGTATATATATGTATATGTATGTATATATATATATATACACACACATACATACATACCTTCAGTAATTTATTGATATTATAGTTTTCCTGTGACTCACCATTTGGGAGTCTTTTATTTCTCACTTTTCTCTACTACGAATTTTCTTAAATTTATTAAAATACTTACAGTACTGGCTAAGTCAGTGTATTGTAGGCTACAGTAAAACCTCCATCCAGCTTCAGGTTCGACCTGAATTCTTTTGAGGATGACTCATTTATAAACATTATGGTCTTCAAGCCTTCTTACCTCGTTTATTTGATCTTCACAAGAAGCTTGCAGAACATTTAGGGCAGATTACTTTCTTTAGTTGCCTCTTCTAATTTAAGGAATCTGCTCCCTTGTTTAATTATCTTACAAGTTCATAGATAGCACTTAGTTTCTATTCCTTTGGGTACATAATCTAAGATGACAATGCCAAAAGGATCCCTAGAGAACATCTCTTTCAATGTCTTTTGTTACAAGTGAATAAACAGGCACAAATAGGTAAAATCGCTTGCCTAAGATCGCATGGACAGAAAAAACTAAGATTGGAACTTAGCATTCCTGATTCCCTGTCCCTATAACAAGAAATGCAAGTATAGTTTGCAGTACATGTAAAATTAGGTCAAGGCCCTCTGCTATCTTTAATATTCTCATTTTGCTCTTATGTGTTTTGGAAATAGTGTGCAGTTCGTGCTGCCACAGAAGGCAGAATTCTCATTTTGGAAGGCTTGGAAAAGGCTGAGAGGAATGTTCTGCCTGTATTGAACAACTTACTGGAAAACAGGGAGATGCAGCTTGAAGATGGACGCTTCCTGATGTCTGCTGAGCATTATGACAAACTTCTGCAAGTAAGAGAAGAAAAATCCTCCTGCTTTGTCTTTGTTGTCAAACTGTGGGTAGTGTCAACTATGGGTAACATGTCATATAAAACACAGTTCTCTTGGAATCAGATCAAGTGTTCATTCAGATGGCCCTTATCTTTGGCAAATGAGTTTGCAGTTTTACAAGGCTGTACTTTTGCAGACCATGTCAGAGACCTCTGAGATTTCTACAGTTTCTTTTCTGTCAGTTTAATAACTATTTTCTCTCTTAACACATTTTTCTCCTTTTCCCCCTTTTCTTTGCTCAACAATGTTTATTAAAATTCTAATGACTTTTAGACAGTGCTCAATAACTTTTGATGCCAGTGGTTTTGATTGAATTCATGCTTCGTGGCATCAGGGATACAAAGCTAAATAAAGTTCAGTCCTTAGCCTCCTGAACCTCAAACCCCAACAGGTATTGACCAAAATGAATACGATATTTAAAAGACACCCTGATGGTCCAAGCCAGGTCATCTCATGCCTGGCTTCTAACTGGATTCCCTGTTCAATTCTTATTCCTTCATACAGCAGCTAATGATTGCTTTAAAACATACATCAGATGCACCAGATTGGGTCACTCCTGTGCTTGACCTTACGGGTTTGCTCTTCTACTCAGGGTAAAATCTAAAACATTTATAATGGAATTGAATGCTCTGTATGATCTGGGCCCTTACTATCTCCTGCCTCTTGTCCTTCTTTCCTCCACCTCTTTTACTTCACTCCAGCTACTAGTATTCTCTTTACCTTAAATCTGCTAAATAGGCATTCTATTTTCAAGCCTTTGCACAGTTACTTACCTCTTCCTGAAATGTTTATTTCCCCAGGTATTTACTTGGCTTGCTCCTCTAACTTAATCAAATGTTCAAATGTTACATTGTCAGTGAAGCCTGCCCTGACCCCCCTATTTAAAATTGTAATTTGCCCTCTGCTTCTATACATCCTAACCCTACTCTGTTTTATTTTTCCATGTTGTCTTCTAATATCCTATATAACTTGTTTACTATTATCTGTCTCCCTCTACTAGAATATAAGTTTTGCAAGTACAGGGTTTTCTTTTTACTAATGTTGTTTCTCAAATTCCTTGAACAATGTAGTGGGTGTTCATTAACTATTTGTTGGATGGATAAATAAGTAAGTAAAATTAAATGCTGTGCAACAAGTACGGGGTATGGGGTCTTCAAAAGGCTTTGGATGTGTCATTTAATGTCATAAATGACAAGAAGATGCTTAGTCCTTATTCATTTAGCTCAGGCTGTACCAAATTGGAGCTGTATGTGCTAATAGCCTTCTGTGACTGATTGTTCTGCATCGACATTCTAGGACTCGGAGGCTTTCTCATATCTTTTCTGTGCAGATACATTTATGCTAATCTTATTGGCCAATCACTCAAGAGCAAGACCCGTTTCTTATATTTCTTGATCCTGCTCTCGGGGTGCAAATACAAGTCCAGAACACATGAAGCACTAAATAATAGATGTTGATGCCAGAGGGTCTGATTGAACTGATGTTCCATGGCTAGTAGAACAAGGAGCATCTTTTTCTGATCCCTGCTGCCCAAAGCTATTTCTCTATAATCAATCTTGCAACCCTTTTAGTAGTGGGTTTCTTTCCTGTCTGTGAGAGTTTTTTGATGGTGTTTTTCTCATGCAAGTATTGTAATTTCCATCTAGATCTATCTAAAGGTCATCTAATTCTCATACAATTAGAAAGGGATAATGGAGGTTTTAGTCAATAAGAAGAGCTAAATTTTTATTCCTTCATTTTGCTATAGTTCATGTACTGAAAGGAAGACTTTTTTTTATTATTTGTCTGTAAAAGAAGGTGAAAACATGCAGGTCACTTTCTCTTTAGACACTTTTAAATTTCAAAATAATTGTTTTCTCCTAAAAATTATACTATTCAACCTTTTAGGACATGATTTGGCAAAGAATACTACTCGGAATGTGGAATTGTATGTTTTAAAAGCAAAAGCATCACTTCACAACAAAAAGTTTGATATATTCTTTATTCTTAGAGTATAATTCTGCACAAAATTATTGAACCTTTTATTTTGGGTAAAAACTTGCAACCTGGGAGTCAAAAGGGTTCAGTTATGTAGGGAATGCTTATAATTAAAAGAGAAAGATCTTTTTTTCCCCCTCAAAGAAGATATTAGTATAAATACATAATTTTTATTGGTAAATGTTAATTCTGTACTCACATGAGATCTGTCTCATGAGAACATCACAGAATATAGGCAATATCTCTTCATGAAACTTTTACATCTTAAGGCAATTTCTATGGTAAACAGATTCCAACACCATAATTTAAGTCCCACTTATTTCTAACTAGACTCAATATACTGAGTTTTAATATCTCAAAAATTGTATTTTTTCACAGAGGTAATGATTGTAGAATTTTGTTATTATAGAAATAATCAGTCTGTATAAACTTTATATGTATTCCAATTATCACTTTTAGGTAAATGAAAAATAGAAATATTTGATTCTCTGGAGGTTGTCTTGTTGGTTTTTCAGACAGGGCTGGATCCAGGCTCTTGTTTTCTAATGTATGTAACATAGTGTTAATCATATGTAACATAGTATTACTCGGTTAATTTATGAATTGGGATCTTTTTATTATCATTGAAATAATCATTTTTTATTTTTAAAAAATTAATTCATGCAATCTATCCACAGACTTTTGGATTCTTATGTTCTACAAGCAATAAGTCCTCTTATGAGGTTGGATTAGCATGAGGCAGTCTTGCATAGAAGTAGCTGCACAGTCATGTAGCATTGAGGCCCTGCGTTCCAGCCTCAGCATTGCAAAAACAAAACAAAACAAAATCCAAGTGAGAAGTCACTAAAAACTGGCTCACAACAACCTGTGTATTTTATAAATGGTTGTGTTTGGTTTTTTTTGGATGTGGGTGGGGAAGGAGAGCAAAATAAATAAGTTATTTACTTAAAAAAAAAAAAGAAGTAGCTACACAAATGTACAAAGATAGAAGCTTGTAAAAGATTTAATGAAGGGGTATAAAAGTGGTTCTAAAGGGGGAAAGGATCAGAAAAGGACCTGTTTTTATGAAGCTGTGGTATGTACTAAGATTTGAATGATACTTGTTTTTATGCTGTACAAAGTGAAAAAGGTGTTTCACTGAAAATGGAGCAGTATTGCTGAAGCTCCATTTTTGGAAAATAACAGTAGTATGATGGGTTGAAACAGAGTTATAGAAGGTTGGATTGCTGAGACTGGGAGAATGAGATACAAATCTTGCCAGGAAAGGCAATGAGAAGTTTTTATACTGTCAATGTGGGCATTGCCCTCTGAGGATCTGCTGAAAGCGCTGGACCTTTCCCTCAAAATGTACATATGCACATTTATATAAACTTTATATACCATGGATACTATTGTTTAAGGCTGTGAAGAGCCATTAAGGAAGAGAAGGAAGGAAGGAAGGAAATGATTTGTAGCATGTGCCTGCTACAAACATACATTCTCACACTTAGTTTTCACAGCATTCATAATAATGTAGATGATATTATTTCTGTTTTATAGATGAGGACTGAGGTTCCAACGGTAAATGATATAACCTTGATAATTTAAGTAGAACATGCATGTATCAGGTAGTTGAGCCAGGGTTTGTGACTTTAAAACTATGCAGTTTACGTTCTTTCAGTGCCTCCAGTGACCATGGATAAGTTATATAACTCCTTTGAACTTAAGGTTTTTCATTCAGATCATAAGGAGATTGTCTGGATTCTGGTGCAAGTTAAATGAGAAAAAATCATGGAAAATGCCTACCCTGTAAATTTTCAAACATGTTAGTTGTTATTAGCAGTATGTTTTTCTAGAAATATTTCTGTAAACATAATATCTATTTAGGCTCTGTAGGTGATCTCCACTCTGGATGGTTTGTCTGTCCTCTTGATCATCATGTCTTTTCCTTATTTTACTGACTCTCTTCCTCTGTATTATTGAGTGGGGCTTGGAGATCTGACTCAGCTTTTCTTGGTTCCTTTGTGTATGAGGGACTTTTGTTTCCAAGACTGGTATTCATGTTGCAAGTTTTCCCTGGATCTGGATTTTACTTTGCTTCCTTCCTTAACTGTGTGATTTTGAAAGTGTTTTCAAATTCAGTTCCCTTAACAGGCAAGGCTTAGGTGTCTTGGCTTGGAAGCTCTTGCAGTTGTAATCTGTTTCATTTGTGCTTTAATTTTTATCTCTCCCTTTCGTAGGATCATACTAAAGCAGAGTTGGATGCTTGGAAGATTGTCCGAGTTAGTGAAAATTTCCGAGTGATTGCCTTGGGCTTGCCAGTGCCCAGATATTCTGGGAATCCATTAGATCCCCCTCTTCGTTCTCGATTTCAAGCCAGAGATATTTATTTTCTACCCTTCAAGGTAATTATGACCAAGATTGATTAAGTCTTTAAAATAGATTTTTGTCCACAACAAGAAATTCAATTCCTCTTCAGTAGTTAATGGACAGGAAAAAAGATATGGAATAAGGAAAAATCTCTGGGAAGTAGGATAAAAAATTTTTGTGGCATTATTTGTTTGAAAGATTTTAAAAAGATTTTTATAAAATGAAATGTAACAATAAATTATTTTTTCCTATGAATTTCTTGGTGTCTGCCTAATTAAAAGGTTTGTTTGTATCTATAAACTTTTCCATTTAATCTGTTCTAGTTTTTATTAATTTGATATATTTCTGTGTCATTTTAGGATCAACTTAATGTATTATATTCAGTTGGAGCCAATGTTTCAGCAGAGAAGTAAGTGTACTTTTATAAATACTGGTCACTTAACATTGAATTTGTTTTGCCTATTCATTGATTGATATATTCATTCCACGACTATTCTTTTAAGAATTTTTTTAGTATTGCAAGGTTTGGTATATGCTGGTGATAAAATCAATAAAATAGATCATTGATGGTAAGAAGCAGAATTAAGATCTAGTAGAACTGAAAGAGATACAAGTAGCTTAGTTTAACTCAGTGTAGTTACATGCCACAATTTCAAAATACTGGGGCTATTTGTGGTTGAGACTTTGTGAAGGCTTCACAAAAACATTGATATTTGAAGTGAGTCCTAAAGAATGTGTAGACTTTTGCCACATAGAGAATGGAATGAAGGAATTACAAAGGACTTTTCTAAAAGCATGAGATATGAGAGTTTATGCCTTGTTCTTAAGGCTATAAAAATCTGCTGTCTAGAGTTTAGATTTGAGATTGAGAGGAGATAAAACTGGCAGGGTAGATTTAGATCAGGTTGTGAAAACCTCACCTATCTTGATGGGTTTAGGAAATTCGTGTGTCTAGCTAATCAGCTTCTGAGTTTTAAATGGAACATTGGGATACGGGAGTCACTGTTCTTCAAGAATTAACAGTAGGGATCATTTTAGATTAATTAAATTGGCCCAGCTATTTGCTATTTAACATACTTATTCTTATTTCAAAACTATTAGAATAAAATTTAATATGATTTTTTCCCCCAGAGTTTCTCAGCTTTTGTCTTTTGCAACAACTGTCTGTTCCCAAGAATCTTTTGCTCTTGGACTTCCAGATTTTCCTTTAGATAGTTTACCAGCTGCAGTTCAAATCCTGGTATGTATAAACCAAATTAATGACTGGTGAACCCAAATATAGCAAAGCAAATTTAAAAGTTAATCCTTGGGAATTAATCACTTTGGGTTTTCTTATCATATTCTTCTGTAAAAGGCCTAAGGTTGATTTGTTGTGCAGTATAGTAAACTATACAGAGCCCAAGTTCTAAAGAACTCCTAGCTTTGGAGAAGGAGGAGGTAGACATGAGATATAAGCAAATATAACGGTGGAAGGGAAGGCTTCAGCCGTATCAAAGAAGAGGTGTACTGCAGTGAGTTAGGCCTCAAAATTGCCCCACCTGGGGCAGTAGAACTGGGCTTTCTTATTCTAGCACCCATTAGTCATTGGTTAATAGTTGTCCCAGGGGATGCACATTTCAAGTCATTACCGTCTCTCCCAGCTTGTGAGCAAAGCTGGTTCCAGGAGCTGAAGGGCAGTCTTCTTAAAAAGACCTCAGGGCTGGTGTTATGGCTCAGTGGTGGAGTGCTTGCCTAGCATGTATGAGACACTGGGTTCACTTCTAAGCACACATATAAATAAATTAATAAAATATAGGTCCATTGACAAATTTAAAAATATTTTAAAAAATAAGATCTGCAGCAGCTGGCTGTTGTCCACTGCACTTTAAAAAAGTGCATGGCAGTTAAAGGCCTTGTAGGCAGAGGACACATTCATAGGTGTTCAGTCACAAAATAATCTGGAAGGAGAGTGAGAATAAGTTGTATCCCTAGAGAAAGTGTGTATGGTGAGAGAGATATTTGAACTTGATTTTGAAATATTTCATGGGGAGTGAAGTTGCTTGGAGTTAATGATGAAGAAATGGCCTGTAAGACATTTTGAAGTAGGTAGAACATTAGGTGATCAGATTTAGGTTATGGGAAAACACCTCCCTTGGTGTTGGCATCAAGGAGGTTGGGGAGAACCTGGATGCCAAAGATATTCAAAGGCTTGTTATAACATTTAGTGAGACCCTGCCAAGGAGGTCCATCTGAAGTAGTAGCAATACTGCTTTCTTTAGTCAAGGAACTCATTTTTAAATGTTAATTGTTTTTTTGAATTATTTCTATTTAGACAGGAAGGGTAGTTTTTACATTGCTCTACATATCCAGAAAGGCATTTCTTCTGTTTATCCAATTTTGCACTTTTTTTTTGTTTTTGCTCAGAACTTTGTGCTTTGAAGAGTGTCATATCTCAACAAGCTGGAAAATAGTCAAACATTCATAATTCCTTCACCTAGAAGCACCAATTACTAACATATTGCCACATTTGCTTGACCCCTGTTCCCCCCCTGAACCATTTGGAAATAAATTGTAGTATTCTATTAAATATTTATGACTTCTAAGAATTAGAGCATTTTTCTGCATAATGAGAATACTGTTATCACACTTTACCATATTAACATTAATTCTGTAATATCATCTAATAGATAATCCATATTGAAATTTTTGTGTTGGTCCCTATCAGTAGACTCTTTATTGTGTAAACAGAATTGAAAATGCAATTTGGTTTGGGGTGAAGGATTTGAGGAAAATGAACACTTTCTTTACTTTGCATTTATAGCTATGAAGCTAAGTTAATGTAGATCAGATGAACTCAGATTATGAATAAAGGAGGAACATGTGGTTTGGGATGAGTAAAGTATGCAAATGTCAATAGTTTCAGATGTAAAAGTTTACATATGAAAATTTACAGTATGTGACTACTGTATACTGTATACTACTACATACTGTAGTCACATGTAATGGATAATTGAAGATTCAGGTCTAGAGCTCAAGGAAGAGCATGATTAGACATAGAAGCACAGGAGCCATTGACACATAGATGAAAGGAGTGAGTTCACTTAGAAATGAATAGGAACAGGAAGAGGAGAAGAAAGAATATTTTTTTATACTTCTGGAAAATTATTGGTTATTTTTATAGGGCAATTTTAATGGCACATATACATGTAAGATACATGTTCTGTGGTTATTTTAGATGTTGCTTATCCCTATGTATTTGTGCTTCTAAATAGGATTCCTTTCCTATGATGTCAATTAAACACGCAATCCAGTGGCTTTATCCATACACTATTTTATTAGGACATGAAGGGAAGATGGCTGTTGAAGGTGTTTTAAAAGTGAGTATCTGTTTCCCTCTCTTTCCTTTCCCTTACATTTGAATTTTTCCTTCTTTTGCCTTCCCTTTCCTTTACATCTTCCCATTTCTCTTTTTCCATCTCTCCTAGTTTTCTCTAGTCTCCTTTCATCTTTTTTCACTATCCCTTATCTTCCTTTCTAGTCATGAAGGCATTAGATGCCAGCAACAAGAAAGCAGTAATGGGGAAAGAAGGACAGAGGGACTGGTGTGGAGAGATTGAGAAAATAAATAGATCGAGCACATGAGTGACTATGATAAGGATATTGAGATAATGAGAGCTGTTGGAGAAGGGATTTATAAACAAGGAAAGGGGTAATGAGGTATTGAATGAGGTATTGAATTGAAATTGGAGATATGATTTATGTTTTTGATACATATGAACAAATAGATAATATAGTATTACATTATAGTATTTTATACTACATATAGTATTATATATAATATATATAATATTATACACACACACACACACACACACATATATATATATATATATAATATATATAGTTCTCTTAAAACAGCCAAAAAATTGTATGATCATGCCATATGCCTAGACACTGATTACTAAAAGAAATCAAAACTCCTTGGAAATAGGGTTTTCTCAAGGATTGAGCCATAAAACATACAAGATGAACATTGAATTTCTTAATGTTCCAGAGAATAAGGAAATGTTTAACAAATGATATTGACATTTCAAAATGACAGAGGAGTCAGCTTGAAAATTTGACCATTAAAAATAAATAATGATAAAAATTAATAGAACTTGTTTCATAAAATGGGAATCCACAGATCTCTATGATATGAATAAATTATAAAAATATGAAAGAGAAAGAAAAATCTTTTAATGTGAAATGCTTACTGATAAATAAGGAATAATATAACTAGAAAAATCACCATTTGGCATTCATCAGAATGGTGGTTGATTTAGAAAGGTGTCACCAAGGGATTTAAAGCTGGCGGATAGATCTTTGGATATGAATACAATTTCTGAATATCTCTCTACTCCATACAAAATACTCAATTGCCTGTGTGTGTGTGTGTGTGTGTGTGTGTGTGTGTGTGTGTATATATATATATAAAATTTTGTATTGGGGATTGAACCCAGGGTGCCACATCCCCAACCCTTTTTATTTTTATTTTGAGACAGAGTCTCGTAAGTTGCTTAGGGCATTGCTAAGTTGAGGCTGGCTTTGAATTTGTGATTCTCTTGCTTTAGCCTCCCAGGCCACTAGGATTACGGATGTGTGCCACTGTGTTTGGCAGAAAGTAGTATTTTTACAGTAAACATGAGCTTGACCAGCTGGAACAAATTGACATGATGTATCTCCCGAAAGATGGGTTTTGAAGAGCATCATTCTTGGGGAGTTCCTACTAAGAATTGAGGATGTAAGTATGGCCTAGTCCTAGGTTGAAGGCCATCTTACAGAATGAAGACCTATGTTCTTTAAAACTGTTCAGACAATGTTCCATGTTAAAGGAGACTGAAGAGCCATGAGCTAAATATTCCTGCACTGGATCTTGAACCATATAGGAACAAATGAACAAATTGTTGGTTCACTTTGTAAGAAAGATCTGTGCATTGGATAGTATTTTATTAAATTAATTTCCTGTTCTGGAAGTTTATGTGGTGATTAGATTGGCTAGAGTTCTTGTTCCAGGAAGTATGCACAAGAATGTTTAAGGGTGTGTGACATCATATCTGCTGCTTGTTCTCTAATAATCAGAAAAAAAATCAATACTTATGTGTGTGTTTAATTTTTGTTCTTTCTAATACAGTCTGGTTAAGGTACAGATTTCTAAGGAGTAGATAGAATGTTAACACTAAGCTGTAGTGGCTATGTATACAGGACCTTAATTTTCTGGGCTATAATTTGACACTCTTGAGCACTTGGGATGTTTGTTTCTCCCTTATTCTCAAACCCACATGTAGTCTTTGGAAGTATTGAAGCACTCTGTGTTCATCTAGTAATAAAAATGAGAAAGCAGGAGAGTGGCATAGGAGATTCTAGTTGTTTCAGTAAGATTTTTTTTCAATAGATCAGCTAGCCACAGAACCTAAGAAATAATGTTTTCATTGATTAATTATGTTTAATAGTAATAACAATAAAATCATAGAAAGCTATTTCTCATAGATAATGAGAAATACAATTATGAATTGAACCTAAAGAAAAGCATAAGGAAGCAAGGAGTTAATAATGGTCAATAAAGAGGCAAAGGAATGTAGAAGAAAGCAAGAGAATAGAAGTGGTGAAATAGTAGTAACTGATGAAAGAGAAAAAAACAGGTCTACTCTGTGGTGTGTGTGTGTGTGTGTGTGTGTGTGTGTGTGTGTGTGTTTGAGAGAGAAAGAGAGGGAAAAAAGGAGAAGGAGAAGGCGAGGATATTAAAAACCATTAGAAAATGGGGATAGTCATACATTCAGGAAACTGCCATTTTCTGACTATGTAGTTCACTTTTAGGTTTATTTTAGGTACTGAAAATAAAAAGAGAACTGGAACTTATCTTTGGTTCAATCAACATCTGAGCTAAATTGGCATTGGTCACTGAAGCAGAACATCTAGTATTCAAGATCAAAGGCTTCCTCAATTCCAGATGAGCTTCCCTAGTGCCCTCAGCACAATACCTGTGCCTTGGGAACAAGGAGGCATACTCAGGGAAGAAGAGAGTCCCAGAGGAAGTACTGATAAAATGAAGCAATGCAGAGTTACTCTGTGACACAACTGAGAAAGATGTTCAGTATCTAGATAGATCCGTTATGAACAAAGGTCTATATCTTTACAAAGAAACCACTTTGATGTGTTTCTGGCCTCTAATTTTTAAAACTACTTGTATAAATTATATAAAGTTGTAGAAAATACTTAAAAAAAATCTTTATTTTATTTTAATGTGGTGCCAGCGATTGAACCCAGTGCCTCAAGCATGCTAGGCAAGCACTCTACCACTGAGCCACAATACTGGCTCTGGAAAATATGTTTAATGAGTTGAATTTTCTGAAGAAAATAGTATCATTTTGTTTGCCCTTAATTTTAACCTCTTAAGGGGAACATGATGATGAAAGGTTTATATTACAAACAAATCATTTTTAATTTTATTGTAGAGAATTTAAAAAATGGAAAAAGGTACTGGTATTAATCAGATAAAAGTGTAACTGTCTTTTCTCACCTTAATTACGTGAAGTGCTAGTTAATGCACAGATTTCTCTTGTCTGAAACTAATGAAGAATTTTCTTTTGGTAAGATTATTATACACTGATATATACATAAATATACACATAAGGCGTAAAATATCTTTCCTTAAGAGTGGGTTGTACCCTGAATGGTGGTACATGCCTTAATCCCTGCTACTCATGATGCTAACACAGTTCAAGGCCAGTGTGGGCAATTTAGCAAGACACTATGTCAAAATCAAAAGGGCTGGGACTATAGGTCAATGGTAAAGCACTCCTGGGTTCAATCTCCAGTTGGTGTGTGTGTGTGTGTGTGTGTGTGTGTGTGTGTGTATGCATGCACACACATGTGCAGGGAGTGGAACCGTCTATTCATTGGTATAGTTTTTTGTTATCTGTTCTGGAGCACTCTGTGTGGCCTGTTTCTTATTTAAATTTTTACATTGTTTTCCCAAAGCGTTTTTTTAAGCCAATATTCACAGATGAATGAAATATTATCTATCTTCAAACAATTTTGATAAATATGGTGAAAATTAAAGTACTTTGTTGAATTTGGAAAAATGTTTAATTAAGGAATAGAAATGTGTATTATAATGGAACTAGTCAATAACTTTTTCTTCATAAGGGATAATTATTTTCTCTCTCAGATTACTATAGAAATGAATGAATAGTTGTATTTGAGTTACATATCCCCCTGAATTTTAGTGTATTCACTTAATTGTGTTGCATTTTTAAAGGAAAAATTATTACTCACTGAAAATGTAGTCAGCTAAAAATCAGAGCACCTTTCTTTTTTTGAACCAGCTATAAAAATGACTAGAATAATTTTTATTCCCCAGATGGTGCTTATTATGTGATATTCATATTCTAAAAACATTTTTATAGTTATGAAATTACTTCTAGCTTTTAGTTAAAGATGCCTTAAAGATTCATTATGTATCTACCACACTTTGAGAGTTGGCATCCTTTATCACAGTTTAGTAACAAATATATCCAGGCTTTTCTCAATATGTCTCAGCTCTCAGTTCCACGTAAGTAGAACTCCATCATAATAAGTGTTAAATTAGTATATTCCCTAGGTGATTTAGAAAGGATATGCTACCGCTTATTCATTTATAATATAATCTGAATGATAGTTTTGCAAGAGAAACTTGGAAGGGTCTTGAATTTAATATTTTCAATCAGTTCAACAAACATTAGTTGAACATTCATTATTTGACGAATGATTATATGTCTATAGAAATCTAGAGATATAGAAATGGATGCTATTTGATCCCTGCTCCTGAGAAACTTACCATAATGATGAATAGCTCTGATCAAACATGAAGTAGCCCAGTGAAAATAGGAATTAAATGGATGTGAGAAATATCTTAGATGCGGTAATGTCTTAGAAGTTACTAACTGATAAAATGTGGGTTGGGTTGTGAGACTGTGAGAAAACATGAGAAATCAAGAATGTCCATGGATACTAACTTGGACAAACGAGTAGTTACAGCTGCCATTAGTTAATATGAGAAATTACAAGGAAGAAGCACATTTGGGGTGTAGGCTAAATAATTCTGTATGGTAGGATCTTTTTTGAATTTGAGATTTCCAGGGAGGTTTATCCAGCAGACATGAAATACAGATCTGGCTCTGGAACTATTTTGTTATTAAAGATAAATACTTGAGAGTTGTTAATGTGTGGGAGTTGTTTGAAAGAACTCAGGGGAGCAAGTAGGGTGAGAAGAAAAACTGGCCAAATGCTGAACCTTGGAAACACCAACATTTAAGGTATGGACAGTGGGGAAAGAACATGCAAAGTAGGCAGAAGTAGAATGGTCAGGGAGAAGTAGAACAGAAAGAATATTCTGATGAAACATTAGGAGTGATGTTTTAAGAGGAAAATGTTAATAGTTTCCAGTGCTACAGAGATATCTTATTTAACCAAGACTTTTAGATTATTCATTCAAAAAAATTATTCATTCCAACCATCCTTCCACAGGAACACTTAACCAAGCACTATTATGCTGAAAATGTAGCAGTAAACAAAACAGACAAAAGTCCCTGCCTTCATAGAGGTTGATTTTTGGTTAAAAAAGTCAATTAGTTAAGTAAATGATGCTATATGTCAATTGAGGAATACATGTGTTCACCAAGAAGGCAACCCTTAGATAAAGATCTGAAGGAGAGAAGTCCTATGGATGAAAGCACTTCAGAAATCACTAGTACTTAAGCCCTGAGCAGGAACATACCTGGGGCATTCTAGCATCAGCATAGGATAGTGTGATGGTGCAGAGTAATTGAAGGAGAGGTAAGTAGGAGATGAAGTTAGAAGGTAGGGGAGCTCAGATCATGTAAGGTTCTGTAGGCCATCAAGGAGATTTCTGCTTTCAGTCTGAGTATGATGGAATACCATTAGGAATTTTTAAACATTTTTTTTGGCAGTCTTGGGGATTGAACCCAGGGATACTTTACTACTGAGCTATATCTCCATCCCTTTATAAAATTTTTTACTTGGAGATAAGGTCTAAGTTGCTTAGGGCCTTGCTAAGTTGCTGAGACTGGACTTAAACTTGTGATCCTCCTGCTTCAGCCTCCCAAGTTGCTGGGATTATAGGTGTGCACCACCTTGCCTGGACCATTAGGAGATTTTGAGGAATGTTTTATATGACTGATCATTCAGCAGCCCTGTTTTGGTTGCTAAGTAGTGAATACACTGTGAAGGGTAAGGGCAAAAGCAGAGAAAAACCAGTTAGCAGATTGTTATAATAATTCAGTTGAGAGATTATGGTGATTTTGACCAGTTATGAGTTGGTAAGAGGTAGTTGGTTTTGGGTTATATTTTCAAGGTAGAGTTAACATATCTGCTGAAGGGTTGGATGTAGGGTTAAGACAGGAAGTCAAGGATATTTCAAAGTCTTTGGATTGAGGAATTGGAATGATGAAGTTGGAGAGAGAGAAAATGGGGGGAAGGTTAAAGACCTGAATGTTGGACATGTTTAATTGGGGACACCTATTAGCTATCTGAGGGGAGATAATAAGAGGGAAGTTTGCATATGCCAGTTAGGAACTCAGGAGAGAGACTGGAAAGAGAAAACAAGGAGTTATGAACATATAGATGGTTTGTAAAATCATGACTGGATAAGAGTATTGAAAAAGTAAATATAGATAAAAACTACATCTAAACCCACTTGGAAACCTCAAATTCAAAGGATTCCACTGTATGGAGTTATTTAGTATCCATTCCAAATGTGTTTCTTCTTTCTACTTCCTCTCATTAATGGCATCACTATCTTTTCACTTTTCCAAGCTAGAACTCACAAACACTCTTGATTTCTCACTTTCTTTCACAGTCCTCCAACCTGCCCTATTTTTTTAAATCAGTTAATGATATCTATCAAATGATCCATTCCTGAAGTACTCTAAATATGCACTGGTTAGGAAGATGAAGGAGAAGTCACAAAAGAGACCCAGAAGGAGGAATCAATGAAATAGGAAGAAAATTAATTTATTAAATTTGGCAAATATGATATTATTGGTAGAATTATTGAGAACAGTGTTAGTAAAGTGGGAATATAAGCCAGAAATTTGTGGGCATAAGAATAAGAAAGATGAAGCAGTGATTATAAACTACTTGTAAAATAAGCAATGGTGAGCAGAAGGAAGAAGTTGATGGGTGGCTGAAGGATGATGTAGAGGGATGGGGAAGAGGGTGGTAGAGGGGGGGAGACTATTATAGCACAATGCATGCATGCATGGAATTGTTACAGTAAAATCCATTGATTTGTACAGTTAACATTACTTGATATTTATAATTAAAAAAAGGATGATGTCAAGTGAAGAAATGACTGTTTCTTGGAATGGGAAAATAAACATGTTTTTTGGAAGTAGGGATGACATTTGTTGAGTACATGTAAAATATGGCTTGGGCGAGGTGAGAAAGGACATTTCCAGAGCACAATTGTACTTGATTTAAAATGATATAAGAACTTATTTTCTATCCAGAAACTGTACTGATGGGATTGCTTTAATTTGAAATTGAGAAAGACTGGTGGCTTTCCATCTACTGTCACTTAAAGCAGAAGTCCTTTTTACTGAGAAAATGGGAAAAGAAATAAATATTGATGAAATTATGGATGATTTTGAGGATTAAAGAAAAAAATATTTTCATTTTATTTTTCTCATTTAATAAACCTTACATGACTACTGACTAGGGTAATTGTGGGTTGTAGAGATTTTGGAGAGAGCCAAATAGATTGAATAGTTCTCTAAAGAGACTTACATTCTAGTAAGGAGTAGAGAAGTCTAAGGCACTAGTGTAGGTGGGAGAAATATCTAGATTGCCTGCCAAAAAATGGGATAGAGGGCTTAAACTGACTTCTTAGGAGGCAAGTAATGGTTTGTATTAGTTGCTGAGATGCTTTGAGAAAATAGCCCAGGAAAGATTGGAGCCACATATTTGTTTAGTTGCTAATCAGCATGGTCTGGATAATTTCTCTTTTGCTGCTCAATAACCTAGAAAAATATAGGAAGAAGGTGCAGCATAGTGGGTCAGGATTGGGAATTATGAGGATGAATGCCATTGCCTTATTACTAACATCTATGTGATTTACATTTCATTCTGTATAATTATAAATCACATTATAAATAATATAATCCCAAAGAAAGTTAGTTGGAAATATTAGTTCTGTTTAATTGAAATTAAAGAATTCATAGGAAAAGCCCATAAAGTAGTAAAGTAAATAAATGCTGATTTTCTACATATTACTAGCATGTAGTCTGAAAGATTTTATATTCCTCTTGTACTCCTTTATTACTTTTCTGATTAATAGTTCCTCTAAATTTCTATGTCAACAAATGATAATTCACCTTGCAACTTGAGATCTTTTACTATTCAGGTTGAATCTAGCCTATTTCTATTCCACTAGCTTATTTAGCTTAATTATTTATAAAGATATAACCAATGTAGTAAATGATTCTTTGCATTTGTATTAATTTCAGGAATATGAGTGCTCTAACATCGATACTGTATCAACTTATAATGACATAATTATAACTGGGGTAAAAGCATACTATTTCCTGTCATTTTATAAAATTTTAAGGATGATTTTAGTATCTATCTCCTGTGTACTTGGTTTAAGTAGAATGGTATTATTAGAAAATAGAAAAAGTTCTCATTAATTTTTTTTACTTCTATTTTTATAGAATTGAAAAGTTTTGGTTCTAATTAGATGGATCTTCTAGATATTTCAACATTGATACTAAAATCAAATGTAAATTTTAGGGCTGGAGATAGAGCTCAGGGGTAAACACTTGCTTAGCATGCATGGGGTGCTGGGTTGGGTCCCAGGTACTGCAAACAAACAAACAAACAAAAGTAAATTCCATGACTTTTACATGATTTTCTTGTAATTTTACAGCGTTTTGAACTCCAAGATTCAGGAAGCTCTCTGCTTCCTAAAGAGATTGTTAAAGTGGAGAGAATGACTGAAAACCATCTCTCCCATGCTTGTGTGACTATTCAAATTGCAGGACAAGAGGTTACCATTAAGGTAATGAATCACAATTTCTTCATTTTAAGATGCACCTGGTTAATATGGCCTAAATTAGGCATGTGACCTTCTCATAAGTCTTATTTGGCTCTGTAGCAACACATCTATGTCTCTGTATCTCCTTTCTGTATTAGGATTTATTGTTTATACTATTTACTGTGTCTCCTTGATATATATTATACTATTTAAATCCCCCAATAATCTTGAATGTAAACTTTATTATCACCATCTTATAGGTTAGACAACTGAGATGTACCTTGATTAGTGGATTCATCCATGGTTATAATCTAGGAGGTGGCACTGCTGGTAATTCTAGACAAGGTCACTTTGCACTACACTCTTCTGTCTTCTTCAAATGATAATCTATGGTAGAAGCAGATGAATAAGGACTACATTGTAATGAATGGCAATAGGGACCTAGAGAGGGAAGTAATACAGGAATTCTGGAGGAGTAAGGAAAGCTTCAGAGATGAGGTGAAACTTGAGCTTAGTTTTGAAGAATGACATAGAATTTTCCCCATGGCCCAGGGATAGAAAGGTGATAGGACATTGGGAAGTTTAAACAGAATTTTCAAAGTCATGAGGTATGAGCCAATCTTCATTATTTGCTCAGCTTTGGTAAGGGTTCACTAACTTCGTTGAATCCTGTGCCTTTTGTTAACTTTTCATGTTAGTACCAGGATGATCTTTCTTAAATGCAAATTTGATATTGTTTCCAAACTTAAAATTATTTAGGGTTCATGTTGTATATGTCTGATCAAGTCCCAAGTCCTTAGAAGAATAATTCACCCAGGATAATGATAAGGAAGAGGATAAAAAATAAAAGAAGATCATAATCTTACTCATATAGAATCTAAAAAAGTTGATCTCAGAAGTTGAGAGATTCTACTAGAGGTTGGAGAAAGGGGGAGAGAGGAACAGGGAGATGTTGATCAGTGAAAACTACATTACAGTTAGACAGGAGTAAGAATTTTCTGATGTGCTATTGTATAGTAGGGTGACAATAGATACTGATAATGTACTAAAAGTGAGGAGGAAGATTTTTTGAGGTTTTAATCATAAAGAAATAATAAATGTTTAAGGAGATAGATATATTTGACCTGATTTAACTAGTATACAATTTATAGTTCATTGAAACATCATATACTAATCCATTAATATGTATAATTTTTATGTTTTATGTATCAGTTAACAATAAATTTAATTTTTAAGAAAGTTCCCTAGGGAATGAAAGAGCAATCAAAGATGAAAACCAAATGAATTGAGACCACAAAGAATAAGTATAGAAATAAAAGCTAAAAAAAAAATAAAAGGAAAAGTAGGTGGGAAGCATGGGAGGAGAGGTTTTTTTGAATAGATGCTTCTGAGGGTAAACAAAGATAAGAGTAAAAAGAATTTGTGGACATGGGTTTTGGAAATCAGGAGGTCAGTGGTGAGTTGGAGATTTTGACATGGGCTGATTTTAAATTCCATATTATGTCTGCAATTTGAAAAAAGGTTCATTCCCCACTAGAGATTTTTTTTTTATGAGTTATAAAGGCAAGAAAATGACATGATTCTTATGTACATATGTGACAGCATGGGACTTTAATTTTAGAGGAATGATTAATTTGGGTGTTGGATAATAAGATCATCAGATCTCTGAATGGGAAAATAATTGCTGCTCTATACCATTATATCAGGGAAAACATTTGACATTTGTTTTTTTGGGATTGGCTAACTTCGCTTAGCATTATCTTCTCCAATGTCATCCATTTATCTGCAAATGCCATGATTTTATTCTCTTTTATTGCTGAGTAAAATTCCAAAATATCAATGGCTACTATAATTAAGTGTAATTCCAGCATCTCAGGAGGCTGAGACAGGAGGATCTTAAGTTCAGAGTCAGCCTCAGCTACTTAGTGAGGTCCTAAGCAACCTATTAAGACCTTTTCTCAAAATAAAAAATAAAAGGGGTTGGGATATGTTTTAGTACTTTAACATCCCTGGGTTCAATCCCTGGTACTGAAAAAACAAAAAATAAAACAAAACAAACTTTGAATTGAGGAAGGAATTAAGTGTATGTGGGAACTTTTATGTGGCAGCTACTTATGTCCTTTAAGTTGCTAATATTTTGAGAAAAGCATATGAATATTTTATCTACCCCTCTTTAATTTGCAGGTACCAGCTGGGACCAGACCATTTGGTCAGTCTTGTGCATCAGACCAATTCATACGGACTTTAAGTCATAAGCAGCTACTGGCTGAAATGATGCAATCTCATATGGTTAAGGACATATGTTTAATTGGGGGAAAGGTAAGACTGGCAGCTTTTTTGCAAACTTTTATTTCCTGGCTTTTCTTATTTTGATTCATCCTTTGAATGATGTGTTTCCATTTATAGGGATGTGGAAAAACAGTCATTGCCAAGAACTTTGCTGATACCTTAGGATACAACATAGAACCCATTATGCTGTATCAGGTATAATATTCATCTTTACCACTTGAACTATAAAAATGTATGTTTGGCCTATTAGTAGTTGTTACCTATTTTGAATATTCATATAGATAAATAACTAAAATAGCAATAAAGTTAGAGTATAATTATACTTATTTGGAGCTTTTGAAAGTACATTCTAGGATACTTGTTTTGTGTAACATATCAGAGATCTGTTTTTTTAAAAAATTCATTTTATGTGTATGCGTACACATACACAGAGTACATTTAGTAGTTATTTGGAAATAAATGAAGTTGGTTTGGGCTGCTGTGGAAGAAAATTAGGTATTTATTGAGTGGATTATTATAATTTTTATTGTTATAAAATATATATAACATAAAATTGGCCATTTTATTTATTTTTTATATTTTAAATTTTCCAATAAAAAGACCAAGTGGTTGAATGGATTTCCAAAAACAAGATCCAACAACATTGGTCTTTTTAAAATTGATTTTTAACAAAATAAATGACAGCAGACTACATTACAATTCTTATTACATGTGTACACACAATTTTTCATATCTCTGGTTGTATAAAAGTACATTGACACCAATTCATGTCTTCATACATGTACTTTGGATAATGATGTCTAGCAGATTCTACCATCCTTGCTAATCCTCTGCCTCTTCCCTTTCCCTCCCACCCCTATGCCCTATCTAGAATTCATCTATTTCTCCCATGCTCTCCCTCCCTACACCACTATGAGTCAGCCTCCTTATATCAGAGAAAACATTTGGCATTTGTTTTTTTGGGATTGGCTAACTTCACTTAGCATTAACTTCTCCAATGCCATCCATTTACCTGCAAATGCCATGATTTTATTCTCTTTTATTGCTGAGTAAAATTCCATTGTGTATATATATGCCACATTTTTTTTTTTTATCCATTCATCCACTGAAGGGCATCTAGATTGGCTCCACAGTTTAGCTATTGTGAATTGTGCTGCTATAAACATTGATGTGGCTGTGTCATATAGTCTTTTGGGTATAGACCGAGGAGAGGGATAGCTCTCTAAAATTTGCCATTTTAGTCATTTTTATATAAGTACAGTTAACTGGCATTAAGTACATTGACAATGTCATGTAATAATTGCCACTTTCTTTTCTAGAACTTTATCATCCCAAGCAGAAACTTTATATTCAATAAATAATAGCTCCCGATACCCTACACCTCTCCCAGATCCTGTTAGCCTCTATTTTACTTTCTGTCCCTATAAATTTGTTTATTTTAGGTGCCTCATATAAGTATTCAAAATTTTTGTTCTTATGGTCTAGTTTATATATATGTTTTCAACATTTCTCTGTGGTATAGTATGTTTAAGAATTATGATCTTTTTATGGCTTAATAATATTCTGTTGCATGTATCTACCACTTTTTGTTATGCATTCATCTCTTGATAAAACATTGGCTTATTTCTATCTAATGGCTATTATGAATACTTCTATTAAAAATGATTGTGTACAAAAATGTGCTTGAGTTCCTGCTTTGAATTCCTTTAGTTTATACTTCAGAATATAATGGCTGGAGCATATAGTAATTCTGTTTAACTTTTTGAGGCACCAATGAGTGGTTTTCCACATTTTCTGTACCATTTTATATTTGACCAACAATGCATGACATCCTTGACACCTATATTCAGCTTTTGTTTTTGTTTTATAATAGTCATTCTAGCAAGGGTGAGGCGATAGCACATTGTGGATTTTATTTGTATTTACATAGGAGTAATGATATTGTGCATCTTTTTATGTATACATATTGACTATTTATATATTTTGGAGAAATGCTTATTCTTGTTAAGGTTTTTGCCCACATTTTAATTGGGTTGATTTTTTTTTTGTTGAGCTATTGGAGTTTTTTATACATTCTTTATATATGTGTGTGTTTGTGTGTGTGTGTGTATGTGTGTGTGTATGTGTGTGTGTGTGTGTATAAATATATATATATAAATATATATATATGAATATATATATATTTATATATATATATATTTTAGTTGTTGATGGGCCTTTTTATTTTATTTATTTATATGTGGTTCTGAGGATTGAACCCAGTGCCTCACTGATGCTAAGCAAGCAGTCTGCCACTGAGCCACATCTCCAGCCTTATACATTCTAAAAATAGAATCCATTCTCAAATATATGATTTGCAAGTATTTTTTTCATTCTGCTGGTTGTCTTTTGATCATCTTGACAGTGTTCTTTGATTCACAAAAGTTTTTAACTTTATTGAAGTTCAGTTTGTCATTTTTCTTTTGATGCCTATGTTTTTAGTGTTATTTTCAATAAATTCAGCTCAGTGGCCAGGATTTCCCCGTATATTCTAACAGGTTTACTGTTTTCTGTAGTACATTTAGATTTCTGATCTATTTTGAATTAATTTTTATATAGTGTGTAAGACAAGTGTCTACCTTTAATTTTTTATTATTTGGGTATCCAGTTTTCCTGGCACCAATGTTGAAAAGATTGTTCTACTTCCATTGGAATTCCTGGCACTCTTGTTAAGAATCAGTTGAGTATAAATGTAAGGTTTTATTTCCAAGCTTTGTATTCCATTGGTCTATGTGTCTATCCTATGCCAATACCACACTGTTTTAATTACTGTAGTTTTATAGTTAAGTTTTGAAATCAGAAAGTGTCAGACCTCTACTTATGTTATTTCTTTCCCAGATTGTTTTGACTATTCAGGGTCCCTTGAGATTCCATATAAATTTTATGAGATGTTTTATTTTATTTCTGTAAAAATAAATGCCATTGATATTTTGAGAGAAGTTGTATTTAGTCTGTAACTCTTTTTGGATAATATTGTCATTTTAATAGCTTAGTCTTTCAATCAGTGAATATGGTTGTCTTTTCATTTATTTTTATCTTATTTCATATCTTTCAGCAAAAGTTTTTCAGTTTTCAGTGTATACATCTTTTGTCTCCTTGGTTACATTTATTCCAGGGTATTTTTGAATAGATTATTTTGGTGGATGTACATGTTGCACATAGTATGGAGAAAAAGCAAGCCTACAGCTGGTATTCTTACAGAGTGAAGTTTTCCACCATGTATTTTTTTGTGATAATCTCTCCTAATATATTTTTATCTGCTAATTTTTTGATGCTGTAAGCCAATCTTTGGCTGATTGTGGTAGCTTCTTACTTATAGCAGAGTTTAATTTTATTCTTTGAAAGATTTTGAAAGTGAATGTGATACTATTTATTTACATTTTAGGATACCTTTTGTGATTTTAAGTTACTCTTTAGTCATTAGGTTATTCTTTTGAATTGTTTCTAACATTAAATATATTTATGTTAAAAATGTTGTTTCTAAAAAATAATATTGAAACTAGTTAGTTTTTGTGGCATTAAATCAGAAATTTTTTTATTGCTCATATTTCAAATTATTCTACTGAGAATATTCCTTTCATATGGCTTTAAGGTAGTTTGTGCCTACTTACTAAATTGGCCAGAGTTTAGATGGAATTCTAGTTACATGATACTCCTAACTTTGGGGCTGTAAGTACAGGAATATGTTATAAAGGTCCATGTAAGGATTCTTCCTAAAATTAATCCTTTCCTTTGCTTCATTTAAACCATTCTGAGCATCAAGTACCATTTAGGATTTTGACTTGCATTGAAAACAGTTTGGAAAACAAAAGAGAAAGCACCCTGTCTCTTTATAAATCTGTGGTGAATCCATACCTCTACTATTTTATATAGTTTTCACTATCATATTTCAATAAATACAAAAGCATAAAAAGGAGGTTATGGTCGTTAAAACAATCAACTGATTGAAGGACTTAAAAAGTTTCAAATATTTACTAAGAATCACTGCCATCTTAAAAGATGAAGTCTGTGAAGAATCATATGTGAAGGTGACGAAATCAAGAAGAATGAGTTAAGGCAAAGAGATTGAAACTATCAAGGACCCCATGTATGTTTAAAGTAAAGTATAGGAAAAAGAAAATATATTTTTAGATTCTATAACAGGTTGTGAATTTGAGGATCCCCCAAAATATATTTTGAAATGAGCTTTTATAAATTGATTCTAGGTCACCTAGATTTTTTAAAATAGGAAGAAAGGATATTTGAGGGGATATATCTCTTAATAAATCTATGGAAGATGCCATGATAAATACCTTGACCTTTTACATAATCATGCTTCTTTGGCAGAGATCATAAGATAAGAAAGTTGTCTTTGTATGCTCACTCATCTTTATTTCCCCTTCCATAGTTCATGTCAGAAATAATCTGAGGATAGCACTTTCTCTTTTCACCAACTTATTCCCTGTCAACTTTCTGATATCCAATAACAATATTTTTCTGTCAAACATCAATGGGGAAAACTTTGATCATCAGTATGTTTTGCAAAACAAATTAAGATTTTAAATAATAGTGTCTAATTTACCTTCAGTTGCCATTGCTTTGAACTTATATGGACAAGACATTTTGAAGAAAATACTTCTTTTCTCTTTGATTCCATTCTATCTTAGTATTGTTTATAAATTTATGAACATGAATATTTTCTTCACATTAAAATAAAACCTTCATTCTAATGAAAGCTGGAAATAGTCTATATACCTTATCAGTTTTTTCAAACAGTACTGTTCCTGTGCTGGGTTTCTATAATCAGTTTATGGTGATTTTTATACTATATGATTGAGCTGTGAAATGTTTTGTTTACCTCACCCTGCTGTTCATTAAAAAAAAAAAAAAAAAAAATCAAGGGGTTGGGAATATAGCTCAGTGCTAGAGCATTTGCCTAGCATGCTCAAGGCCCTGGGTTTAATCCCCAGAGCTGGGGGATGGGGGAATGAACCAAGGAAAAATGTATGTGAGGTGTATCTGATCATTCAGAAATTCAGAATCTCTTAACTACACTGAAAAACAAAAAACAAAAAAACACTAAATGTACCCTTTCATTGAGGATGTTATCTTAATATGTGAAAGGCTTAGTTTAAGAGTCTGAAGAACAGATTTCTTTTTTACATACTTTTTTTTAC